TATTGTCACTCCCCCAAAAGCTTAACGTACTCTTTGAGGGGAGGTAGGTAGTCGAGTGAGCTCATAAGCGTGTAAAGGTTAAGCACGAGATCCCCACGACACTGTACTGTGTGCTTGTGCTTACCACCGATTTATGCAATACAAGTAGCCTTTTGCTAATTCGTGTGCCTTCTTGTTGCCTTTGTGTGTGTGTTTGCTTTGTTTCGTAGGCTTACTCGCCCATTTCAAGTGCCGCACGGGGCCCCAGCGATTATCCCCGTGACATCGGGGTGTCCAAAGAAGGATCGGTGCGTTCTTGCCAGGGAGTGGCCCGAGGTCCATTGGGAGGAGCTCGAGTCTTAAAAGGGGTCAGGGCGCCCCGAACTTGGGACCCCCCGAAGTGCCTTAACCCCGGGGAGGAGGTGCGGGTAAGGCAGCTTCCGGCGAGTAGCCGAGCTGAACTTAGTGGGACTTTCCCTTCGAGTTGTGCTTACGCTCGAGTAAGGTCACGCCCACGTGTACCCGTGCTGCGATGTCGGTTCAAATCATCCTCCATCACATAATTCATTATTAATTTTGCAAAATATTAAATTATTATTAATATGAATATTATGAATTCTATTATAATTATTTTTTTACTTTTAAGATTTGTTTTAAATTTATTACATAATTTTGTTATTTTAACTATTTAAAATTTTGTCATGTTAAATATTTTGTTATTTAAATATTTAAAAGTTTTCATTATTTGAATTTTATTTATGATATAAATTACAAAGATCCCCCCTATACTATGGGGTCTATGACAAAGACCCCCCTGTACTCTGTTTTGCGACAAAGACCCCCTTGTACTATGACCGTGAGACAAAGACCCCCTTCTGTTATTTTTTCGTTAAAATTTACCGTTATAATATTTATTAATCCCCATACTACCCTTGTAAGTAAAACACTTTTCATCTTCCCCAACCTCAGGATATAGGAATAGTAGCGGCGGTATTTCTTCACATCTCTCTCTCCCTCTCTCTTCTTTCCCTTCCCCTTTCTCTCCTCCCCTTTGTTCAGATTCTCCTTGGTCTTCTCTCTCCATCACCTAAGCTAAGCTGAGAAAAGATAGAAAAGGAGTCAACTTCTCTCGGCCAGGTTAGCAACAGCACCCTAGCCGTAATCCCTTCCACCACCGAGTTCCACCCGTAGTGAGTCAGGAACTTGCCCACCGCTCCATGGTTCGGTATTGGGACTTGTGGGGCCCATCCCCTTATGATCAAACCTCTCCCTGCCACCCGATCTTTGATCTCCTTAATGATAACCTCGTGATTGTCCGCTTCTTGTCCCGACATCGTCATCTTAACAGTCCAAATAAATCTGACTCCACTTCATTCCAGCCCGACACCCAAGGCCTCAACTGTCGTTTCGACAGCATTACTTGACTACCAAAACAAACGTAAAGCACAGACTCGTCCGGGCAACGATCGAGCTACTTCAGCACATCAGCAGGTGACACCGAACTGGGTTCACCTCGTTCATCAGTTCTAGCACCAGCACCAACCGCCTCCATCATAGTCCAAGGGCCCACACCACTCTTTGCTTCATCTTCTTCTTCTTCTCGTTGTCGATTCCAAATCCGCTCGATGGCGGGTTCTGCGACCTCTGAATTGAAGAAAATTCAGATTCAGGGAGACGATATTACATTTGATGCTTATGTAGTGGGCAAAGAAGGTGCTCCTGTCATAGTGGTGTTGCAAGAGTGGTGGGGGTTGATTATGAGGTCAAGAACCATGCTTTGAAAATTTGCAGATGAATCCTAGTTTTAAAGCACTCATCCCAGATTTGTATCATGGAAAGGTTGGTTTAGATGTTGCAGAAGCACAACATTTAATGGATGTTCTTGATTGGCAAGGTGTTGTTAAGGATATTCGTGCTTCAGTTAGTTGGCTCAAGGCAAATGGTTCACAGAAGGTAGGTGTGACAGGATTTTGCATGGGCGGTGTTCTCTCAATTGCAAGTTAAGTTTTGATTCCTGAAGTTGATGTTGTCGTTGCTTTCTACGGAGTTCCTTTCTAAGGGGAAGGGGAAGAAGAGAGAATGCGGGAGAGAGAGAGGGAGAGAGAGAAAATGTAAAGGAATACCGCCCTGCTGTTCCTGTATAGTGAGATCAGGGAAGATGAATAGTGTTTTTCTTAAAGGGTAGTATAGGAATTAAAAAATATGCGGCTTTCAACGGAAAGCTAACGGAAGGGGGTCTTTTTCTCACAGTTATAGTACAAAGGGGTGTTTGTCGCAAACAAAGTATAGGGGGGTCTTTGTCAGAGACCCCATAGTACAAGAGGGGTCTTTTTAATTCACCCTTTTTTTTAAGTTAGACCCGATATGGAATCGTTTTGGCCATTGGTTTTTGGGTCAAATAAATTGATCATCTGATTCAAACAAATGGTTTGTTCTGATTTAAACAAAATCAAAAATCAAAAGTCAAAATCAAAAGCAGCCAAAAACTATTGTCCAGATCGACGGTTCAATTGCCCAGGTTAGCGAGTCATTGATTAAGTTAACGGTTTTCGTCCTAAAAATGGCATTAGGGTGAAATAGAACCAGTTGCCTGACTGGTTCCTGGGTCAACCGGTCCAATCATCTGGTCCGGTTCAGTTTTTTAAACCATTGTTGAGTGTGAAAAATTCCTTCCTTCTCCATGATTAAAAAAGGCTAAAGTTCTTTTGTAGATTTTTATGCCTACACTCTATGGTGACAAGCTTTTCTAACAATTGAAATGCTAAAGATAGAAGACAACTTCAGTGCAAGAAACATCAAGTACTGATTATTATTATTATCTACCTATGAGATTCAAAGAAAAAGATGCCCAAGTAAATCCCCATACTAGACGAGTCTTCCGCAAGAGAATGTTCTCCACCTTGTGGGATTCAAAAGTATAGGGGCATGCAGATAACATCATCACAAACAACTAAAACCTAGTTGTTACTTGCTCAATCAAAATCATATGTTGACAATCGATACTTTTAATTAAGAGTATCAACGGACATTTTGGATTGGACCCCATTCATATCAAAATCAACTTGGAGAGAGGGCCAATAAGACATTGAATTGGACCAGTCTAGATTTAATTGTCCAAAGTATTTATTGGATTGGATTGGACCGGGTCCATCTGTAATGAATTTATATTGGATTGGGCTGAATCAAGCCAATATCTGATCGATTGTCAAAAAATAAGAATAAAGATGTCAATTGTCCAGGTTTGGATTAGAATTAATCTAAATTGAAACAAATTTGGATAGATTGGATGGTCCAGACATTGACTTGGATCAGTCCAAAAATAATCCAAAATATTCATTGGATTGGATTGGACCTGGTCCATTTGTAATGGACTCACATTAGACTGGATTGGATTGGACCAAATCTAGTCCAATTGACACCCCTACTTTAATCACAAGAAACCCTAGTTAGAAATGCCACTGAAGAGAGAGAGAGAGAGAGCTGCTAGAGAGAGAAAACTGTCCGAAAGAAAGAATTACTGGAGGGAGAGGGAAAGGGAGCTAGAGAGATTATTAGTTGGTTAATAACTTCCCAATTCAAAAGATTCACCATAAATAAATCAATTTCCGAAAAAAGATTGGAATGGTTTGGTGTAGTAATTCATATAATGAAGAAAAAATTTGGAAAATAAACATTTTTGTTAAGAGTGATTGTATTGATATTTTGGACATTTTAATGCCTATTATTAGAAAGTTTTACCAAAGGGGATCTACTTGAGGTTTCAACAATTTACCCTAAAAAAATATGGGTGTAAAAAGCTATGGACATGTCAAAAGTCAAAATTTTGAACCATACATATTGGATTGAGCAAGTTTTCAGGCACAAATAAAGCACCTATTTGTACTTGAAGACGAAAACGTGTGATAATCTAAATAATGTCCACCTATCAACATGGCACATATCTTCCAAGGGCTTCATGACAAAGACTATAAATACCCTCACCATTGCTAGGTTTCTTCGTCATTCATCACGAATCTGTTTTTCCTAATACCTGTGTTGTGAATTTCCAGAGAGGCTAAAGGAAGAAAAGATGGCTGATAATTCTGAGAAAGCAAGCTTCCAGGCTGGCGAAGCCAAGGGCCAAGCTCAGGTGAGCATTATCCTCCTATGTACAGGATCATTATATACTCTAGTTAATTCTTGCGTATCAATATATGCATGCATGCGGAACATAATGTGGCCATGGGTTTTGATTCTTGATTAGATTTAAGTTTGATGCGGTGGCTGAATGTGTGATGATGATTGATTACATGGGTACTGATGATAGTTTTCTCCTTGTAGGCTAAGGCAGATCAAATGATGGACAAGGCAAGCAATGCCTATGAATCAGCCAAGGATTCATGCCAAGAGGTTCATTTCATTTCCTAAGCAAAAGAAATTCTTGTTCTAGCAATGCTAATAATGAAAACAATCTTTTTTGCCAATATAAATTTTAATTGGTTTTTGATTTTGTAGGCTGGTCATCAAGTGCAAGCCAAGGCACAAGGGGCCACGGATGCTATCAAGGATGCCACCGGGATGAACAAGTGAAAAGTTCTTGGTTATTCATGAAAGCTGTTTTGGCTTTTGAGGACTTGTATTTATATTACATTATATAATAAAATGTAGTAATCTACGCCAGCTTATTTTCTCTTTCTCTCAATGCATCGCACTCGCATAGCCTCCATAGCTGACTAGAGGGCCACACTCCCCTTCATTGTGGTTGCCTCTTCTTTTTAGATGAAAGTATCCAAAATGTATAAGATACTTTGTTATTACTAATTAATTACAAACTGTGTAAGAGGAGAAGTCCAAACATCACTAATTAATCTCCTGTTGAAACTGTGTTCAGAGTTTCCTTGGTGAAACCATCTCATATCACCGCTTGCCCAGAGTCTTTTGCAACGCTTCACTCAAGCTTTGAAATCTTTTCATTCATTATATAGGTAAAGTCCCACCAACAACACGACACACTCAAATTTTGAATTGAACGAGTTTTCAGTCACAAACAAAGCTTCTGTGTGTATTTCAAGTCGGAAATGTCTAACAAACTAATTAATTAATGTCGCAACAACATGGCATATGTCTCTCAAGGGCTTCATCATAAAGACTAAATTCCCTTGCCATTATTTCATTTTTTCATCATTCATCACAAGCCTGTCTTGAATAATATCTGTGTTGTAAGTTCTCTATAGAGAGGCAAAAAGGGAAAAAAGATGGCTGCAAACAACTCTCAAAAAGTGAGCTTCCATGCTGGTGAATCTAAGGGCCAAGCTCAGGTGAGCAATATCCTCCTATATAGGTTCATTATATACTCCAATTCATCATGTGTATAGATATATGCATGCATGCATGGGACATAATGTGGCCATGGGTTTCCATTCTTGATCAAATTTAAGTTTTCTCCTTGTAGACCAAAGCAGATCAGATGACAGACAAGGCAAGCAATGCCTATGAATCAACCAAGGAGTCATGCCAAGAAGTTCATTTCATTTCCCAAGCAAAAGAAATTCTTTTGTTCTAGCAATACTAAATACTAATAATGCAAACAATTCTTTTGCTAGTATAAATTTTAATTGTTTTTTATTGTGTAGGCTGGTCAACAAATGCAGGCTAAGGCACAAGGGGCCGCTGATGCTGTCAAGGATGCCATCGGGATGAACAAATGAAAAGTTTTTGCTTCATAGATGTTTTTTTTGGCTTTTGATTTCTTGTATTTTTATTACATTATATAATAAAATGCAGTTATCTACGTAACCTTTCTCTCTCTCTCTCTCTATCTATCTATCTATCTATCTATCTATCTATCTATCTATCTATCTATTTCTCTCTCCCCAAGGACCAAAAATAGAAACCCAACCTATGTAAAATTTCAGATTGAATCTGTTTGGGCTTGGGCTAGGTTGACCCAAATTGCACCCTTATCCAATAGGGGAGGTATTAGTCCAATTTGAAAAGAGAAAAGATATTTCAATTTTTAGGAGAAACATCAACGGAGGTTTACGTCTTGTACCCTTCTCTATTCTTGAATTGAATATTTGGTTTCCTGATTGGCACCAAAGTTGGAAAGGTCATATTTGTGTATTTAATGGCTACTTTAGTGATCATATTTGTGTACTCAATTCATCTCTAAATGTAAGTGTTGAAAATGTATATTCAATTATTACTCTCCATCTCATTTAACCCCCTCTTATTAAGTCTTATACTTATGGTATTAAATCTTATTTTCTCTTATTAAATTCTATATTTTAAATTATTTTTCACTAATAAATGCTACTAATTAGATCTATGTTAATATTTTTAGCAATATAAACCCATATATTTTAAAACTGACTAAAAAACAAAACCATTCTGTATCCAATTAGTGGCTAAGCAATTCAACCATCCAAATCAATTTGATCAACCTATGAAGTCATAGTTAGGTAATAAAATTTTTAAAATAGAAATTTACAAAAGAAGATAGAAAAAATAGACACATTTACTATATTTTTATTAATCAAATTAAAAAAAATTAGTGTAATAAACAAGAATTATTTTTATTGATAATGAAAATGAAATACATAATTTATAATTAACCAAAAATAAAATGTAAAAATTATAATAAATAGTTCAACTTTCAGGTTAAATGTGCTAACCTTTAATGTAATAAATAAATAATAAAAACTAATAAACTATAAAAATACAAAAATGTAAAAAATACATAAATTTTGCAAAAAAAAAGCATTTAGGTACATGTATAATATCATGTACTTATCATATTAAACAAAAAGTAAGTATGACATATCAGAATTATTTTTACACACAAAAAATACAAAAAAAATTGAAAACATCTATAATTCTATATTTACACTACTATTAAAAATATGAATAAGATTGTAGAATTTTCTTTTAAATAAAACCAAGGTTTTAAAAACCAACCTGAATATAGAACAACTTTGGCTTCTGGATTTTGGATCAACGGCTCAACTGTCCAATTTGAGAAAACCAATTCGGTAAGATATAAAATATAATGTAACTTTTTGTTTTGACTGCTAGATTATTATGATTAGGTTGAAGTCTACTGCATATATACATTATTATGAGAGGGAAGTATGGGATTTTGAGAGGGAGGCGGTTGGTTAAAGCTGAGAAGTGAAAAAAGAAAGAGGAAGAAGAAGAAGAAGAAGTAGAAGAGAAGGAAGTGTTGCTGAAGGTGGTTGTCACCATGTTCATCGGTTGTTGCAAAACCGTTTTGCCCTAAGGAAAAAAACCATTGGCAACGGTTATCTCCATGTTCATCATCACCACCACTATAGCACCGCTTGCCATCTTCTTACATCTTTCTCATTTCTCTAAATATCTCTCAAATCCCGGATTGCTTGCTTCATTGGTGTATCTCAACTTTTAATATAAGATCGAAGTTTAATCTCTCATCTCTTGTATTGATTTTTCGATTTCTTCATTGGAGTTGTAACTTTTTCCTGTTACAACATAAAAAGAATCACAAAAATAAGAAAACTCAAAATCAAAATGGAAAAATTAAAAACCCTAACTAATTTTGGTCATTGGGAATAATCTAACAAGATTATGACATATAAAAGTTTCTTTTCTCAATTTTTTATTTTCTAATTTCTATTTTAAAATAATAAAAAATTTAGAATAAGTTTGAAAGCAACTCAAGAATCGTTAATCGGGTTAAACATTTTAACGGTTAAACTGTCCAAGTCAGCGGTTCTCTTACATAGGTTGGATTTCTATTTTTGGTCCTTGGGCATTTATATATATATATATATAGAGAGAGAGAGAGAGAGTAAGGTTACATGGATAACTGCATTTTATTATATAATGTAATGTAAATACAAGAAATCAAAAGCCAAATAAACATCTATGAAGCAAAAACTTTTCACTTATTCATCCCAGTGGCATCCTTGACAACATCAACGACCCCTTGTGCCTTAGCCTGCATTTGTTGACCAGCCTACACAATAAAAAACCAATTAAAATTTATACTAGCAAAATGTTGAGTGGGGCCACTGATTTGTGTTTAGTTTATTTTCYTTTAAATTAAGAAGTTGTTGGGCCTTGGGCCCATTAGTTTTTATTTTTAAAAGGGTTGTAACCATTTTAGTTTGAGTTGCCACCCTACTAAGGGCATCTTTGTAATATCTCATATTTAAGTTAAATATAAATAGAATGAGGGGCTGGCGGCTAGGGTTATGATACACAATCCTAGTTGACCTTCTTCTCCTTCCTTCCCTTTCTCTTTCTATTGCTGAAATCTACAACTTTCTCCTCTTCCTTTCACAAGAAGCTTGACCGAATCATCAGATAATGGTTTCTACTCAAAAGGATTGTTTGCATTATTAGTATTGCTAGAACAAAAGAATTTCTTTTGCTTGGGAAATGAAATGAACCTCTTGGCATGACTCCTTGGTTGATTCATAGGCATTTTGCCTTGTCCGTCATTTGTTGGTGGGACTTTACCAATATAATGAATAAAAGGATATCAAAGCTTGAGTGAAGCGTCACAAAAGACTCTTGGAAAGCGATGATATGTGATGGTTTCACCGAGGAAACTCTGAAGATGGTTTCAACAAAAGATTAATTAGTGATGTTTATGCTTTTCCTCTTACATAGTTTGTTATTAGTTAGTAATAACAAACTCAGTTTGTAACTTTGTATCATTAAATATAAGTTCATTCTGTTCCACTAAATCAAATAGCTAAGTTCGCCAAAAAAACCAAATAATTGAGGGGCCAATTAGCAAGTCTTTTTGGGAAGATCTTTTGATAGCTCTAACAGTCAAAAGACGCATTGAGCTTTTGCATTAAGATTTGAGCAGCCTAAAGCCCGTTTGTTTATGGCGTGTCTTTCCATGCGAAGACGAATAGAAAAAACGCAAAAACTCAATTTGGAGCTTCCAAAAAATTGCCCGATTTAAGATTCATCTTGCGTCTTTCCAATATGTCGGCTTTTGGTGGATGAATCTGCTGCAAATCAAATGAGAAAAGACCGAATCACAATCTATCAAACTTATAAATAGATGACAGACCACACGAAAAGATGCATCAAATGGGGCTTGAGTCTTTTACAATAAAAAAAGATAAACATTAAATGGCTTCACTTTATTGAATTTGTTGACTTTTTTATGTATAAAATAATTTATATGTTAACAAAGTATCTTATACGTTTTGGATACTTTCATCTAAAAAGAAGAGGCAACCACAATGAAGGGGAGTGTGGCCCTCTAGTCAGCTATGGAGGCTATGCGAGTGCGATGCTTTGAGAGAAAGAGAAAATAAGCTGGCGTAGATTACTACATTTTATTATATAATGTAATATAAATACAAGTCCTCAAAAGCCAAAACAGCTTTCATGAATAACCAATAACTTTTCACTTGTTCATCCCAGTGGCATCCTTGATAACATCAGCGGCCCCTTGTGCCTTGGCTTGCATTTGCTGACCAGCCTACACAATTAAAAACCATTTAAAATTTATATTGGAAAAAAGATTATTTTCATTATTAGCATTGCTAGAAAAAGAATTTCTTTTGCTTAGGAAATGAAATGAACCTCTTGGCATGAATTCTTGGCTGATTCATAGGCATTGCTAGCCTTGTCCATCATTTGATCGGCCATAGCCTACAAGTAGAAAACTATCATCAGTACCCATGCAATCAATCATCATCACACATTCAGCCACCGCATCAAACTTAAATCTAATCAAGAATCAAAACCCATGGCCACATTATGTTCCGCATGCATGCATATATTGATACACATGAATTAACTAGAGTATATAATGATCCTGTACATAGGAGGATATTGCTCACCTGAGCTTGGCCCTTGGCTTCGCCAGCATGGAAGCTTGCTTTCTCAGAATTATCAGCCATCTTTTCTTCCTTTGGCCTCTCTGGAAATTCACAACACAGGTATTAGGAAAAACGGATTCGTGATGAATGACGAAGAAACCTAGCAATGGTGAGGGTATTTATAGTCTTTGTCATGAAGCCCTTAGAAGATATGTGCCATGTTGATAGGTGGACATTATTTAGATTATCACACATTTTCGTCTTCAAGTACAAATAGGTGCTTTATTTGTGCCTGAAAACTTGCTCAATCCAATATGTATGGTTCAAAATTTTGACTTTTGACATGTCCATAGCTTTTTACACCCATATTTTTTAGGGTAAATTGTTGAAACCTCAAGTAGATCCCCTTTGGTAAAACTTTCTAATAATAGGCATTAAAATGTCCAAAATATCAATACAATCACTCTTAACAAAATTGTTTATTTTCCAAATTTTTTCTTCATCATATGAATTACTACACCAAACCCTTCCAATCTTTTATCTGAAATTGATTTATTTATGGTGAATCTTTTGAATTGGGAAATTATTAACCAATTAATAATCTCTCTAGCTCTCTTTCCCTCTCCCTCCAGTAGTTCTTTCTTTCGGACAGTTTTCTCTCTCTAGCAGCTCTCTCTCTCCCTCTCTCTCTCTCTTCAGTGGCATTTCTAACTAGGGTTTCTTGTGATTAAAGTAGGGGTGTCAATTGGACTGGATTTGGTCCAATCCAATCTAGTCTAATGTGAGTCCATTACAAATGGACCAGGTCCAATCCAATCCAATGAATATTTTGGATTATTTTTGGACTGGTCCAAGTCAATGTCTGAATCGTCCAATCT